TCCAAGTAAATTCTTGTATAAATAGCTATATCTGTTAGAAAAGAGAGTTTCTCCATTCGAATTCGTATAACAATTCATATAGTCTCCTACTTGTTCTTGTTTCGAAACTTGAACCTTGTCGCTTACCTGCGATCTGAGTACTTTCTCTATCATTGTTAGAGAAAGTGAGCTATTAAACGATGCTAAATTTGGATAATTTGAGCTTGTGAAAGAATTGGTCAACTCTGAATTTGTTCCATTTACAACATATTCAACCATAGCTCTACAATTAAAATCCAACCACAAATTTCTAGGATAATCCTCAGAGTAATATTCATATAAACTAACATTATTTGGATTAAAATAAAAAGGTGCATTAATTTCTTCTCTCTTTTCATATTTTTGAGAATCTGTTGTGAGTTTGTAATAAGCAGAATTGGATTTTTGAACTATTTCGATCAGATTTTGTAAATTGGATGGATATTTTACAGTAGTTCTGCAAAATGTTGTTCCCCTGCTGCTCGTCTCACAATTTTGTAACGATGTAATTTGACAACAGTTGACCATCTTGAATTTCACAGCCTCAGGATCATTTACATAGTAATAATCAATATTAATACAGACAAAAGTAACGATAGTACTAATTAAAAAGAGTGTCATTCCAATAAATCCTCCAATCAAACAGGAACTTCCCAATATTTTGTAAAATCCAAAAGACATGTTGTATTTATAATGGTAATAACTGAAAGATGGTTGTGTGTGTTTTCTTTTTTGTTTTGAATTTTAATGTGAGACTGGTGATTTTGATGCAATGTCAGTGACTCACAGATGGTGTGTTGAGATGTTGTGATGGTTTTAGAAACAGTTAACAAACAAGGCAATTAGATTGGATCATGAAACTTTTTGAGCTATGGATGGCCAGATGGAAGATAAGTTCAATCAAAAATTCCTAACCGAGTTCTTGGATTCTTGGCTAATGAAAAGCTGGTATCTTCTTGGACTATTAGAAATTTTACTTTTGCTGAAACTGTCAAGTCAAATGGCAATGGTGAAGAAAAATACTAGTTAAACCAGAACTTCATGTTCAACCAGGTTTATGCTCAAAAGTCAACTTTACAGAACTTCTAATTGCTAATTGGAAGTAAACTAATAGTTTCGAATAATCTGGATTATTTATTTTTGAGTCTTTTCTCAAGATCTTCTGCATCAGATGACATTACAGCATGCCAAGCAAATTTCAATAAATCCTTTCCATAATTCACAACAATATAATAAATGAGGAGAAGTTTCAAAATTAGTAAAATTGCAAAACGCAGGGCTGAAGAAAAGATTTCCTCTATCAATTCAGAGATAATTTCACGAATGTTTCCGATAAATGACAATTTTTCTTCTTTTTCTTCTTTTTCTTTAGGAATTTCTTTCTCTTGATCTGGGAAGAAGGATAAATTACAGCACGCAGGGGGAGAGGGGTCTTCGCCAAATTATTAAAATAAAAATTAAAAAATTAAAAAATAATAAATAAAATAGAATGATTTCATTTGCAAAAACCGCTGCAAGATGACCGCCCGAATGATGAAAAATAGGTTCAACTTTAGAGAAGTGGTGAAAGTTAGGGGCAAAAAAATTAAAAAAACAAAAAATAAAAAAACAATAAAATTTCAACTGCCAAGTTTTGTTGTTGTTCCAAAAGTTGGTACCTCTTTTTCAACAGATTTGTAAAAAATTACAAGTTACCTTGCTTCCAGTTTTTGGAGGATTTTTCAACCAACCGACGATCTAAAAAAAATGTGTTCATCATCAATA